AAACTCCCAGCCAGGCTGCGAGTGTTCGGGCTGGGTTTCGCTGTGTCTCGCTGTCTCGCAAACGGCCACTGGGCTCACAGGGAGGGGGGGGGTCAGGAGCTCCAACAAGCCGTGTAGGACAGAGAGTGAATACACATACTATACAGAGATGCTGTATGAGAAACCAATGAGAGTTTGGAACATTGAACAATGTGAATCTATTCTAGTAGACCTCAACACTGGAACTATGATCAGTAGAAATGGCCATGACATGGGACCTTTAAGAAAAGTGAATTTTTAAATCAAATTTCAAAGTTCAATTTATACAATTCATAAAAATCATAATGCAAACTTTCTTTGTAAAATGCATAATACTGATCACATTGATTCCAGAGTTGATGATTGTTGAAATTGAACATACATTAAACCAATCAGTGTCATATCATTTTAGTTGATAAATCAATATACTTCATTTCTTAGAAAACATCCAGTGTTTCGGTAGTGACCACACTATTTTCTTCTCCAGGTTGTTTCATATTCCCTCAACCTTATTGCTTGATCTGAACTCATAGCCTGCCTTATGCTGAAGTGTGAATGTTTGAAGCTACTGACCCAGAATCAACACTTTAGTAACGGCTGAAAGAGAGGGGGATGGGGCTAGAATGGGTAATCTGTTTGGTATTTTGAGCAAAACACTTCATAGACATGTTTTTTATATATCTGAGACCTATAATATATGCCTACAATTAGTATAATGATACCTTTAAAGTCACACACTGATTTTCAGACTTTAAAACACATTTATTTCAACTATGGGATTTACCTGCTTACCATTCCATTTTGTCACCACCGAAACGTAACCATATGTTTCCGTAGTGACTGTTTCCGTAGTGACGATTCTAGCTAAAGTTGAGCATAACTAAAGAATGCTAGCAAGTACATGGCTAGCATTCACGTCTTTGAAGAGGTTTACACACATAAAAACCTAATACTTTGCATAAAACCCCGAAAAAGTTTACTTAATTGAAGATAATATGTGTTCGGTAGTGACAATTCTTAAGGTTACACGCCGATTTTCAGATTTTGGAACAGATTTATATCAAAAGTATGGGATATAGCTACTTGCCATTCAGCCATGAGGGACAGGGATGCCATGTCACTGCCTAGTCAAAAATGCAGGGGTGTGGCTAAAAACCAGGCTCAGCCATTGGACTAAAACCCCTTGTGTTTCGGTAGTGACATGAAAACTGGGGACATGATTTTTTTAGTATAGTTTTTTTATTAAAAAATTAAACCCACAATAAATCTAAATATTCCAACTTCTGTTTGCATGTAATCATAAAGATCTTCAAAATACACCATTGACAAAAAATAAAATAAAATGTTTTAAGTGTTATTTACAGAAATTGAAATTTAGATGTCAGGGTTGGGGACAGCTACTTCCCAGCTATTTATAGGGTAGTTGAAAGTACCCTATACATGATGTTTTTGTATATATTAAGCTTATCACTATCTAATTGAATGGCTTGTCTTTAAATAGACCATAACATATTCTTAGTAAATATCTATGTCTGAATACTTAATTGTTTTGTTAAATAGTTTTTCTTGTTGTAGGACCGCACTTTGTACTAATTCGGTAGAATGCCCCATATATGTAACATTTGTCAGGAAAAGTCTATACAGAAATAGAAGAGAAAAACAATACACTGAATCCTAAACAACTTGTGAGTAAGAAGTGAAATGCTTCAATGCAAGCCAGTATTAGACTTGACTATAATAACAGTAGGGCAAGCCTGTGATTGTCCCTCAATATATTATAGGATGCAACTTTAGACAGTCAAACACTTGCACTGTAACACAACACTATGTTTTGAAAGTAGGTTTACATTAACCTAACGACAATCTCCATTGTTTCCCTCCAAGTCTACCGTCAATACTGCAAACAAACACTATGGTTTCTGCATTAAAACCGGATCACTTGCAGAAAAGAGTCGCTAGAAATAACTTAACTTATCCTCTTTACAATATTAGTGGTCGTATTTCTAAACTATAAAACAAAGCGCAGTGACTGAAATGACTGTGTGTTGCATTAGGCTGTTTCTTCACAAGAATCCCATGAGAGTCATGTGAAGGAAAGGACTTCTGCTTACCCGGAGATTAACTGTTGTTGGTGGGCTTTGTTCCTACAGAAACTATGTCTGCGTCGCCATTCCTCTTCACAAGAGATTCTACAATGGCTGAAATGTAGCAGGACAGCCTGTTAGTCCAGCAGCTTCACCTGCAAACAAATTCTGTCCTTGAGCCGAACGTCAATCCCATATCAATGTCGTCAAACGACCTATCAGCGTGTAGAGATCATCTGATCCCTCCTGGAAACACATTTATTTCGACCAATCAGGAGTTTGGGAGAGGAGGAGAGGGAGGAAGGCTCCGCCTCGTGGCCACGTAGGGTGTGTATGTATCGTGTTTGCTGAAATCCATTGACGTCAATGAGCTGGGCTAGCATGAGAAGAGTCTGTCAATTATGTGAGGGAGGGGACGTAACATGTGAGCATCCTGCGCAGAAACACGCAGACAAAACATGATGACGAACAAGCCACTCAATATCACATTCTCTTATTATGTTATCCTAAATATCCAGTGAAATAGGAAAATCATATTTTATTTGACGTAGCCCATATTATATTATAGGCTATTATATTAAATTAGCCTAGATTTTCTATCAGGCTTATATTATATTATACCATAATGAACAAGGCTTATAGGCTATGTTATAGGCTGTTAAATCATACTATATTACATAAGGCCTACTAGCCTATTATAGCTTTTCATTTTTGTATTAGGGAAATATTATTTATTATATTGGTGCTTCTCAAATTGAAATATGTGTGGCCTTTATGCATGTTTCAGTTTTTATTTTATTTGGTATGTTTGTGAAATGAACAAAAAAAGTAATACATAAATAAAGTAAAGGTCTTCTAAAATAAAGAAATATGATTACAAGTTACATTGCAAAACGAATAAAATAATAAGTTCAACTTAAATAATGCCTGCTTACAAAATGTGTGATTTGGCTCTGAAAGAAATCTCTGTCTTGCTGCCTCGGCAGACTTTACATCTGGTCATACATCTCGTACTCTCATCCCTGAAAGCTATGAGGAGAAAAGGTCACACAGCCCAGGCCCCAGGGGAAACTACACCTCGGGGAAATGTCCCAGGAGCAGATGAGCGGACATGACCTGGAGGATCCAGCAAGCCAGCAGAGGAGGAGCAGGGTTTGAATTACAGGCCGCCCCCTCTCCCTCAACCAGCCCCCCAACACAGACGCTGCATTCTACAGAGGAAACGGAAAAGACGAAACATACAAAAGGGTTTTTCATTTCAAACCCCGGGACTGTCGAAAGAACAGATAGTTCTTTTTAATACCTAAACTTATTTACTTTTGGCTTTATTGTCTGACCAAAAACCGTCTTTCTTTCCGCTATTTGTACTGTTTGCACATCTTTTCCTCAGCTGTTTACAGCTGGCAGAAAGCACCCGCCCTGTTCGGGAAAAAGGGACCGAGAGTGACCGGAGGATGCCACCCCAACCTTCCCAGCCGCAGGTGAGGAAGAACATCCTGAAGTTCCTTAAAAGTTTTTTGGGAATCATTCGGATCCTGCAGATTGTTTTCGGAGCCGGGCTGTGGGTCACCATCGCTGCAAACAAATACGAAGGATCCATCCACTTCGTCCTGTTCGTCGCAGTCCTCTTCTGGCTCCTCACGCTCGCCCTTTTCTTCCTCACCCTGCTGGACAAGCAGGACCTGGTCCCGCTGCTGGGAGGGGAGCGATGGCTGTGCACTAACCTGGCACACGACGTGGCCGCCGCCGTGCTCTACCTGCCGGCTATCGGAGTCATGATCTACAAGACGGACCGTAACTCCTACTGCAACCTGGAGCTGTACAAACACCTCTGTCTGTACAAGGTCTACCTGACCGCCGCCGTGTTCGCCTGCCTGTGCTGCCTGGTTTACCTAGTGTCGGTTATTTATGGAGCCTGCAGGAAGTGTCGAGGAGAACAGACGGTCATCTGATGAGACTGAAGGGGGTGAGGGCAACACGGAGGGGTACGGTTCCTTTTTCAGGGGGCATCCACAGCAAGATGAGGAATAGTTAACTTCACTGTAATTTAACTCAACAGAGCTCTACTTATCGCAGGATTTTGTTTACTACTTTGTCCCCCATTCCAAACTTTACACTCTGGTGGTGAAGCAGAATCAATTCAAAATCACTATCAGTTTATTTTAGAGTTGCTGGCAGGAAAAATACACAAGTAGCTCAGCGGCCTATAGTTACCCTGGATTGAGTCTGATTTGAAATGTGTTAGGAGGTCTAAAACATATTTCATGTGTCTCCTAGCTGTAGGTAAGGCCTTGCATTTATCTCTTAATTTAATGTAATTTTCCTGCAGAATAAATATATTTCTGCAAGTGCTACTTATAGAGGGGTAGCAGTATAATTATTGTTTACGATTCAATGGCCTTAACATACCGTGTTTAGATTTGTGTTGGTACTGTCAATCTGAAACCTCTCATAGGGGTTTTCTTTTTCTAAGAGATATTTTGTATTACCTTTTATATTATATGTTTTTTATGTTTTGTATGACAGCAAACTACACCGAACAGTTAGTGGGAATGACTACAAAAAATTGTGGACTTCCTTTTGCTCTGTTTTTTGTTTTGTATGACTCCAACTTTGCAAACAGACCTATCAGTGCCTTTTTCAGTACTCTGTATACTCAACAAGGTTTCTTTTTTACAACAATCCCACAATACAGTTGTAATTGGTGCTACAATGTCTATGCTGAACGAAAGTATACTTTAAGTGTTCATTATGTAAAGTCAAAGAATAAAGACCAGTTAATTGAGAGCAAGTGATACGTACCTTTGGTTATGATCCTTTATTAGAGAAAAGCTTTTCAAATTGAAAGGAAGAACTGGACTACGTGTTTTGCTTTGGTGGCTTTTACCAAATGAAACACAGATTTAGAGGGACTAGTGACGGAAGCCCTCAGGAACTTCCTGTTGGGAGATAAAAGCCTTGGCCAATCAGCAGAGATAATTGATATGCTTCTTGACCACATGAAAGACATGGATCCTTAGACCTATCTGTGTGCCGGGGGAGGGGGGGGATTGTGTGATCATCTGGGAAGAGGATTGTTCTTACCGGGAACAGTCTGCTGGGGTTCCGGAGGTGGGCTGACGTTCAGCCAATGAAAATTAAGCCAAATAGAAGATGAAATGTGTCATCTATTTCAGTCAGCATACAGTTCTTAACAACATGCTGCAAATATGATGATTATTAAATGCAACTCACACATAAAAGCACCATTTCCTTTTTTGGGAAATCCACCCTCTTACACTATAATTGCAGATCCACAATCAAAGCATGGCAACAAAATGCAGAGATTAGAATATAAAAGCACAAGTTTTACAACACATGAATGAAAGACTAAAAAATAAGAAATATATTCTGCTTGATGGCCGAGAATATCTTCTTTTACCTGACTCATACAAGTAGCCTTGATTTATGTATGGTCTAGTATAGACAGAGACAAACAGGGAAACTTGAAAAATAATTGGACTTATTAGTATTTCATTTGAGCGTTTTGTCAGTTTGCGTTTCTATTCAACGACGACAGAAAGAATGCAATGTGCGTGTTGAATGCAAGGTGACATCTGTGGTCAGAGTTACAGGAGTGAAAGGGTTAATGTTTACCAGCTGCAAAATGTAAATCTAGCATTTCTAAAGGAGGAAAGGAGTCCCACTCCCACCCACTCTATCCCCCTCCTGAGAAGTATTGTCCTGTCCACGTGTCGCTCCTGCGGAAACACACTGCTGTATACAACCAAGTGGAGACAACACAGCAGCTTTACATGCTGCATAAACAAAGACCCAACCCAGGGTTTAATTTGGTATTAAAAGTAACCATAGTGAATCGTTTGAGTTTGATGACTCACAACTATAGCATATGCTGACATTTAAAGCCAGGAATTAACTATCCACATTTACCCTGAAATCTTTTTGAGGTTACCACATTAACATGCTCCTTATTATTACACAGACCACAATTTATAGATCAAGTCTGTTCAGATTTGTCACTGTTGTGTGTGAGCCCTTTATGAATGTAATCCTCAAACATCATTTCCAAACAAGAAGGCCATGTAATCACAGGGAATAACACCTATTTGGAAACCTTTACTATATCTTGACATTATTAGAAGGGTGTGTGTACCACAGAAGTGAGGTTATTGTACTTTTCCCCCAGCTACAGAGTAAAAAGAAACCCTGACAACTTGGCAAGGATGTATAGAGCAAGGCAATTCTCTTGAGTTCATACTGTGTGATTTTTTTTGGCTACTCGTCTACTCAACCAATGAGACATTTCCTGTCTGCGCCTACCCACCCTTCTGAAAGCAACTGCCCGTCAAATAGTCATTATGACACTTCCGAATGGTTCCTCTCCTCTCTGTAAGCACAGCATCATGTAGCTGTTGCCATGGACTGATGTCAACTCACAAAAAATCTGATATTATGTTTGCTGCCAGAAATACCTTGAACTCACTTCTAAAGTCCATATGGATAACAATGACATGACTGTGAATCATGGCGATAATTAAATCACTGGTGAGATAATCATAGAGAATTGTTAGGAATGTCTTTTTTCCCTTGTAATTAAAATGCTATTCGCCTTCCAACATAGCGGTGTACATAACAACAGTTATAGTCTTTTTGGGCAAGACTTCCTCATTTTGCCAATCCACCAAAGCTCAGCAATGAAACACTGTCTGGAAAACAGAAGGAAAGGCATCGACTCGCTTTCCTCATAGTAGCTTCAACTAAACATCCGAAAGCATTTTTGTGCGTGAGGGAAGTTGATTTTTCACCGAATTTCTTACATTGAAATAACTTTAGGAAGAAATCTCCTCACAGCCAGTAACAACATGAGAAACATTACAGTGACCAAAACCCCTTTCAATAAAAATATGTTTATGTCAGTGTTTTGGACTTGAAAAAACATAATGGTTTGTTTAGAATTATTCAACAGGAAATGTTATTATTTTAAAAATACTTGTACTTTTAAATTATTACCCGCATTATTTTGTTGTTACTGTGCCCAGTCCTGATTTACATCTCCTTTTTTTTGCAAGACCAGGGCCTGGTGTTAACTGAACCAGGTGCATTTACCTGTTTTGGTTTAAACGTATTCAGCAGCTGCTTTGGACATGAAGTGCCCCGTCTTTGTTTCGCACCCTAATTCTGTGTCTGCATCTTTTTTACCTGCTCATGGCCCTCCTCTTCTGTCTTGCTTGGGAGGCTACTTGTATGCACATGAAACATGAAAACACAGACACATGCACACAGCAGTGCACTGTCAACCACACCTTCATCAGATACTGCTGAGATGCACATTCCTCTGCAAAGGAGAGGGAAACATGTGAAAACAGATGGAGACTGACAGAACAAGTAAATGGGCTAGAAAAAATATCAAAAAGGTAATCTCATGAAGATCTAAGCAGGAATCTGAGATTGACATTTCCTGTCTGTGTCAGGCATGAATGTGCACAGTGTTTCAGCCCTGTCGATTGCCTGTGATACTCTCCAGTTTATAGTTTCCTAACATGGTGACTACACATCTGTTTCAGCAGCTTTTGCCCACACAATACGTCTGAATGGGCACAGTGTTCGTGAAGCCAATGGCAGCCAGTGGTGGGAAATGATGATAGCTATTTATAGAGCGTTGAAATTACCACCACTTCCTCAACTCGCGAATCCTCCGCCAAGACGTTGAGAAGATTTTTTACAGAGTCTAAGAAAGTTAGGGAGAAAGGAGGGCGGTCAAACTGATTCTTTGGCACTAATTCATGAAGATAATCAACAACACCTCTGTCAATCGCCTGTATTTTTTTACCTTAATAAAATACAATGTTATAGAAGGAATCAGAAGTGAAATCCAAGGTGATACACTCTCAAAAAACTCTTACAGAGCTTTGCATCTTTAGAGCAGCATTAGTAGACGACACACAAAGTAAAACAAACATTCCTTCAGAGCACGGATCATGGAGTTCCTGATAATACCTTACATGGCTCATAACTGTTTCCCAGCACTACTTTTCACACAGATTTCACACACTGTAGTTCTGACGATAAAAAGACAATTTAAATTCACATTTTCTCTTTCAATTAAAGCAATATCCGCAATTTTTTTTCTGGTCATTAGGCTCCTGAACTTGCATTATTTGGTATCTTTACAATGCATTGTCAGAATGAACGCATAAAAGTTTGGATGCAACAGCGAAATAAAGTCAAAAATAACAATGTTGTGGAGTCTATAGCTCAACTGTCCAGACATAAATAAAACATTTCAGTGTCAGCCAAACATTCCGGACTGCTCTAGATTTTAACCAACAGTGATGCATTTACCCACTAGGAGGTGTTATAGGGTTTCACAAAACATGAATTGGACCACATTTAAAACTATTTTCTTATTTGCCACCTTTAAAAAGAAAATCACTGACAGTAGTGAACTGGACTAACCCCGAGGTCTGGAAAAAGCTATATAGCAAGTGGACATTAGTTGGGGTAGAACGTCAACAATTATAGTGGCTACAAAAACATGTAAAGGGCTGGTAATGTCCACTATTAAAAAAATTATATAACATTTTATTTGTTGAGTTTATATTCACAAATACAAGTGACTACTGTCTTGTGCAGATCATAATTCAGAGGGATGAATGGATCTTATCACATTCTGGGCAATGAAAAATCTGTGAAGCTGTGTGTGGGGAAAAACTGAATAAAATGTTGACATTATACAGTCAGTCGTAGATGGTTGCAAGGCGAAGCAACCACAACAACAACAACAACAACAACAACAACAACAACAACAACAACAGTCCTTTGTGAGAAGGTTGAAGGAGTTCTTTCCTTAATATAAATATATGCAAATATGTTCTGTATGCAGTCATCTTTGTCATCAAAACTGAGATGGCTTTTGCCAATATGTTATGCAATACTTAAAGCTCCTCCAAAAAGGGCCAACATGTTATGGGACTGCTACTGTAATCACATTTAGGGACATGAAGAGGTGCTGCTCCTGGTCATTTGTACTTTTTGAACTTTTAAACAATTGTTGGTAAATGTTTTGATGAACAGTAGGAAAAGCAACAATTGGTTATGGGATCTTAGACTAAGATATTAATGTAGATAGATAGATATATATAGGCAGACAGAAAAACAATGAAAAGTCAATGGAGTACAATCTGTACACAGTATGAAGGTCAGGGAAGAGTCTCCGCAGCTGACGCCCACCGTTGTCATTGGTCGAGAGATGAACAACCCGTTTTTTTTGCGGAATCTTATTGGATGTGAAAACCAGGAAGTGAGGGACTAACCAATCCGCGGAATAAAAGTACTCAGAGGTTCGACAGCACAGGAGTGGACCTGTGTTATTTTTCTAAAGAGGAGAATTGTCACATTCACAGCCTTTGCATCCTGTTTTAAAACACATTTTGTCTAATTTCTTCACCTTCGGCATATTATTGTCAATCATGGCTGTCTACAAATTAGTGTTGATCCGCCACGGAGAGAGCAACTGGAATCAGGAGAATCGCTTCTGCGGCTGGTTCGATGCAGATCTGAGTGAAACCGGGGAAAAGGAGGCGAAGAGAGGAGGACAGGCCTTGAAAGGTGAGGAGGAACTCATTCAATGTATCCCATCATCCAGTGTGCTTTCTCTGAAATACCGTAGGGGCAAGTGCACGGATCTGGTTGCATAATGGCCTCTCTGCACCAGACCAGACCCTGGACTGCCCCTGTTAACATGCAGAGGTGATGCGTCCTCCATTATGCTTGTCTGGCACACTGCTATTTAATGTTATAAGAACATACAGTTAACATATCTGTTCTCATTTAAAAAATCAGGATACTTTTTTATGATGCACTACTTGTGGACTTTAATGCCAACTTGAATGTTTGGGTAATATTCTTTAACCATCTGTCAGAAAAAGCATCAATCAATTACAGCAAAGACACATTTACCCACTAATATATTCACTTAGACTTAAAAAGACATTGTGCTTTTCAAATGTGATATTTTGCTGTTTTCACATGTGACAATAAACCAAATATCTTAAGTTTTGTGGACTTTTTAAACAAAGATAATGAATATGTTTTGGTTGTAGCCCTAAATGTGGCCACATATATTTTTTTTCAGACTCAGTTGCTTCTGTTCATGGTACCATGGTGTCATTTATAAGAGATGTTTAACGCAAAAAGTGCAGACTTGTGGTTCCCTGAAGGCATTGCAGAGGAATTTACTAACTAAACAAAGCTGAAGGAAACCATCAAAGTATCCAGTTGGAATTTTCTGTTGACAGTTTCAGTAAAAATGCATTAAAATCCAATGTATTTCACTCTCTGGAACTTACAGATGCTAGCTTTGAGTTTGACATTTGCTACACCTCCGTTCTGAAGCGGGCCACCAGAACACTGTGGTTGGTCCTGGATGCCATTGACCAGATGTGGGTGCCGGTGCACCGGACCTGGCGGCTCAATGAGCGCCACTACGGGGGCCTGACAGGGCTAAACAAGGCAGAGACAGCCGCCAAGCATGGAGAGGCTCAAGTGAAGATCTGGAGGCGCTCATTCGATACCCCACCTCCTACCATGGGACCAGACCATGACTACTACAGTATCATCAGCAAGGTAACATAATATATCTACTGTACATACATACCATAACTAGCTTTAGTTTGCATATAAGGAACAAATTGCTTTGTGTACTGAACAGCTTACTGATGTGTGAAATCATAGTGAAGCATTTATTGATTCAAGGTCTGTTTGTGTGCAGCACAGTCAGCTTGAATATCTAACTGTTTTAGACACAGCAGTGCAAATGCAATCTGATGGAAATCCATCAAACTGGAGAAACATCACCTTACTGCTTAGTAGCATATGCCCTAATGCTGTTGCCTAGCGGCCCCTACACACGGCGGCGTGTGTTGAAGCTTCAACGCTTCTGCCCATTCACTTTGAATGGGGTGACGTCACGTTTTGCCGACGTCACCCCATTGACGTCAGCAAAGCATAGAGCTTCAAAAGTAGAGCAATGTCCTACTTTTGAAGCTTCGACGGAAGCGTCAGCCAATCGAATCATATGCCAGTACAAGCTCTAGCCAATCAAACCGCGTGCTTGTGTGTCCGGGGCGGGAGATTCATCAGACTTCAGACACGCCCGCCGGCAAGCTTCAACGCACGCCGCCGTGTGTAGGGGCCGTAATAGTATGTCCAAGGGGAGTTAATAAATGACTGGCAGAAATAAGGTCTGCTAGGATCAAGTTCAAAGTTCAGTCAAGGTAGAAACACACTGATCAGAAGTCTGCGTAGACCGAGGTATTTTGAAGTTAGGATGTGGTAACTCGTAGCTGGCTGTCAAAACATTGATAAGCAGCATTTACCCTGTTGACAGTGTAATAAGATCACAGCTGATTCTTTCATGCCTGCAAATGACAAAGAAAACGTCACCACATTGCTTTTATATGACACTTCTTCTTACCCTTACTCAAAGTTCCTTTCCTATTTCAATAAAGGTCTCTTCAGAAAAAGCTAAAAGACAAAGCGATCTAGGTGCTGATTTTTGCAGTGTTCATTTTTGCCTTTTTATATATTTAAAAAATTGAAAATGTCCTCCTTGTAGGATCGGCGCTATGCGGACCTGAGTGAGGACCAGCTTCCTTCCTGTGAGAGCCTTAAGGACACCATCGCACGAGCTCTGCCCTACTGGAACGAGGAGATTGCACCTCAGATCAAACGGGGAAAGAGGGTCCTCATCGCTGCCCATGGAAACAGTCTGAGGGGGATTGTAAAGCATCTTGAGGGTGTGTGGCGTTATGAATAAGGAAATTCAAGTAGTTTGCCAAATCACCTTTTTTTGTCTTTTACTTAAATTAAAAACAAAGGTCCTAGTTGTCAGGAATTTTCGTAAGATTTAATTAAAAAACTATACACTAAACTTTACTAGGTACACCAGAACAATCTACCACTATTCAACACAAATATAATTCTCTGACACTGTCATAGAGGTGTTAATTCGATTGTATGTTTAGCATTGAGGTCTTTGTTAGGGGTGTAGTTTCCCTCTACTGCATTATAATGATATCATGTATTAAAAAAAGGAGAAGAAATAGAAACACCTTCCTATGTAATGTAGTCCAGTACAACACCATTGTGAATTACAGCTTCAATAATATTTTACCTAATACAGTGTTAACAAGAGTATATCCATATAACACATTTTGCTTTAAAAAAACAAAACATAATCTGGAAATTCTCTAACTTGTTTGTATATGCTGCCACCTGTAGGAATGTCTGATGAAGCCATCATGGAGCTGAACCTACCAACAGGCATCCCCATCCTCTACGAGCTGGACAAGAACCTGAAGCCTGTGAAGCCTATGCAGTTCCTGGGAGACGAGGAGACCGTACGCAAAGCCATGGAGGCCGTGGCTGCTCAAGGAAAGGCCAAGAAATAAAGACACAGAAAGTCCTCTCTGTGAACAGAAAAGGCTGCCCCTAACAACTGACCACATACGTGTTTTCCTAAATCCTCGTTTATTTTGGATTGTAATACATGATGAGTACACTGTAGGTTATTGTCAAACACACCCTTACTCTACTTGCACAGTGTAGGGATAGTAGATAGTGAACCATTGGGATATGTTGGGGCCAGGGAGCCACAGCTCTCAAGAGATTGGAAATATGTATTGCTATAACGGCCCATCAATATGACAATCTTTAAGAAATCAGAATTTAACTGTAATTGCTAGAACTGCTAATACATGCTGTTTATCTGTGTATTTGAATAAGTACTTGAATAAATGAATTACCCTTTGAATAATGAAAACCTTGTCATTTAAAACAAAAAAATATATTTTAGAATTTCTTTGATTTGGTGTCCTACGCAGGGATGTTAAATGCTAATTAAACCAATTACACAAGAAAATATACCACCACACTGATTGTGGTAGGGAAGTTATCATACCGACCTTATGATTACCTGTCCAGGACGACAATACTATTTATTGAATTTAAAAACAAAGTGTGATATTGTAGTCTATAATTATTTAATTTTTAGTCTTTCACTTTTTAGTTTCATAGTCTTAATGAGATGATTTTCAAACAAAAAGGACCACTGCTAAGGATGGACAACTCACCTTCTGTCTTACTTTTACATTTTGAAATGGGGATGAATGTTTGCAAACTCTTGAGAGCAAGACAGCTAGGACAACTAAAAAGTCCTTTTCTCTTTTTGTCTATAGACGGTATTTGTGCCATGTCCTTGTATGTTGTTGGTGTGTCGTACATAGAATTTTTTCTTTTTAAGTTTCATTAGGTTTGGAAAAATGTTAATGGTGCCAAACACTGCATCAGAATGGCCTTGTTTACGGGACCAATCCATTACTTGGAACACCATATAAACATGATTAAAAGAAGATAAATTGTCTAAATGTAACCTTTATTTTTGTTACTCTGTGTTTCTGCCTTGGTGCCCGCTTTGTCTTTATGTGCATCCAGCTATTTCCCTAAAGTAAATGTCTACAGCAGTAGGCCTGCATTATGTCTTACAATATTGAACTATTTCCTTTTTTTAAATGTAATTTCTTCTGTATTGGTAAAATGTATCCTGAAGGCTCCGAAAGTAATAAAGAAAGGCTTCAAGTCTAAAGTTGTTGCTTCTGCTTGTCATGTGGGATATAAATGTATATTCATTTTCACATAGTGATTCGAGTATCATGCTAAACCAGAATTCTAACCCAGCTGGATCTCTATTCATACAAAAATATAACTAATAAATGATGATGTATTACAAGAGATTAAACTACCTAGCAGATATGTGTCTATCCCTTCCAGTAAATTAGAAAATGCCATAGGAGATATGAAAACCACTTTGAAGGTAATTAATAGCATAATTAAGGAGAAAAGAACTGACAACAGAAATGAATTCAAGAAATTCCAAACTGAAGGAAAAACCCCAACGGATGTTGCAAATAGCTTTAATGAGTTCTTTACTGAAATTGGCCCGAATCTGGCGAGTAAAATCAGCCCAACTTCATCTAAAGTGGATGATTTTCTGAAAAACTGCAACCAACAGAGTATGTTCCTGAACCCAATTACAGAAAATGAACTGCTTGATATTGTTAATACTCAACACAGTAAACAGTCCAAAGATTATTTAGGAGTTGCACCAAACATTGTAGCCCCCCTAGTAAATATATGCAATAAATCGTTCCAACAAGGTATTTTTCCCAATGAAATTAAAATCGCGAAGGTGATTCCGGTTTTCAAATCTGGTGATAAATCTAGTTTTATTAATTATAGACCCATTTCTTTACTACCACAATTCTCAAAAAACTCTTTAACAAACGTCTGGAGTCATTCCTCAGCAAATGTAATATACTATGCCCCAGCCAATATGGATTTCTGAAAAATCACTCTACTTCTTCAGCAGTAATTGAACTGGTTGAAGAAATTACCAACAACATTGAGAAAAAGATGATTACAGCTGGTATATTCATTGACCTTAAAAGGGCTTTTGATACTGTGAACCATACTGCTACATAAATTGGAACATTATGGCATAAGGGGTCAAGCCAAAGAATGGGTCAAGAGTTATCTGATAAATAGGCTACAATATGTGGATATAGACGAGGCGAAATCAAACAATCTTCCTATAACGTGGAGTTCCTCAAGGATCAATTTTAGGTCCGAAACTGCTCCTGATTTATATTAATGACATTATCAACACCTCCAACATGTTTAAATTCATTTTGTTTGCCGATGATACCACCATTCTCTGCTCCCATCATAATCTTGGTGATCTTGTTAAAATTGTTAATGCAGAATTAGAAATACTATGTAACTGGTTTGCAGTTAATAAATTATCTCTTAATGTGGCCAAAACAAATTACATGTTATTCAATACAAAGTCTGAGAGTAGAAATGTAGCTTAGCGCAATTTCAATCAGGAAGACAATATCATCTGGTGTCACACGTTATCTCAATAAGCAATCAGGGGCGTTACGCCCCGGCTAGCCAATCATCGCACCTGCTAACCCCTTTTAATCTGCTCTCCCCTCCCTGTCAGTTGTCATTTCAGGCGTCAACACACAAGCAGCAGCAGGGCTTCGCCCCAGCTCCAAGCATATTCATCAGCTCCGCAGTCTTGCGGATTAAGCTACAGACGGCGTTCCCCAGTCGGCTAGCGGTTCCAGCCGGCCGCCCCGCAAACCCGGATGCGGGAGGAAAGACAAGGAAATCGGGCTCCAAGGAAGTTCCTCCGGCTTAATGGAAATGACCTACTTCACGAAAACAATTGACGCACGCCTTCAGTCTCTCGAGAGGGCATCACTGGCAGCAGGGCCGCTCAAATGCGGCGCTTCCGGCTTCACGCGGAACGGGCCCTCATCGCATGCGAAGCTTTACCCATTGCTGGCTTCAACCACAGCCCCTCCCGCAGGCAGGGCTTAAGCTACATCCCCTTGAAGCTACTTCCTCCTGCACCTCATCTCTAAAACAGGCGTCAGGGTAGCACTGGCAAGAGACAGTTGCAACAAATTCATGAGATGTTTCGTTATATTGTTATGACATTCGGGTCATGCAGAGTGAGATCACTACCCCTTTAAGAGAGGGGTGTGGCGCGTGCAGAGCGAGCGAGCGGGAT